TTTTCTACAAAAACATTCTAGAAAAATATAATAATATAAATATTGACAGGCTTCTACTCAACAACACACTCCTTACTAACCAAAATGAAATTTTAAATGCAGTCCACTACGACTTTTCAAGCTATATTGAGGAAAAACTATTACAACCTATTCTACCCTCATCAGAATTCTTTCAACTCTATCAACCACATCCCGAACTTGAAATACACTACCAAAATCTCTTTGATAATATCTTAGACCAGAAATGGAATGAAATTATTACTAATTTACCAAACCAAAAAGCAGTTGGACCTTCTGAAATCTGCTATAAACATATAAAATATGCTAGTAAAAAGTACAAAAATCTCTCAAACATTTTATTAACAAATGTCTCCAACTTCAAAAGGTTCCAACAGAATGGAAATCCTCAAATATTTTCTTGATTCCAAAAAAATCAAATTGGGACTTCACTTTTGACCAAGTTCGACCTATCTCAATTATTGAACTATTCAAAAAAACCCTTACTAAAATTTTTACTAAATGATTTAATAAATAATCATATCAAATAATCTTTTCTCAAACTTAAATTTTGCAGCTTCTAAAAACTCATCTATACATACACCAATTCAAATTCTTCACAATATAATTGAATATTACATACTACATAACAAGGAAGCTTTTATTCTATTTCAAGATATGTCTAAAGCCTTTGATAAGATCAACATCAACCGGCTACAGGAAACATGCAGGAAAATTGGCATCTCTGAAAAAGGCATCAACTTCATTACAGAGCTACATACTTCTCGCTTAGCAAAAATTATTACATCTCATGGCCTTACTGCTCCTGTTAATATCAATTCTGGTATTGAACAGGGAGAAACCTACTCTCCTTTACTTTGGAAAATTTATTATGATCCTATTCTTACTTTTATTTCACAAAAATATCAAAATCAACTTCTAAAAATCTCAACACAATCACCACTTGATATTATTTCAAACTCTCCCTTATCCTCTTTAACAATTCCACCATTAGCATATATAGATGATACTATATAGCATTGTGAAAAATTAGAAACTATGCAAAATTTTCTTCATGATACCTCAAAATTATATGATTTTAATAATATAACAATTAACTCTTCCAAATCTAATCTCTTACACATCCAATCTAAATCTAAAATTCCTAAACCACCAACACCCAATATACTTCATTAACCCACTATAATTTTTTTCTGTTGAATCGCTATGTATCATTTCTATAAAAGTTCATGATTTACCTTGAAGCGTCTTACTTATTGGTTGTGCTTATACTCGTGATCCGCCACTTTTCCTTTTATACTGAAACGGAAATGATTTTCGTCAATATTTTTTATATTATATTATGTGCGCTATATTGCTATATTGCTTGTGTGTGCTAATCTATTTGCGCAAGCCCTCCAAAAATTTTTTATCATGCATGAGTTATATTTATAATTTTTTTAACGTCACGTGGATATACAATTAAATTGATGTAGATTTGCATTCTTAAAATCGATCTGCATAATTAAATTTATTTGCTGTGTTTACTGTACCAAATATGTAATAAACTTTTCATGGTGCTCGCGCTCCTTATTATTGAATTAGACTTTATATTCATGATTAAATTTTATTTACTGTGTTTGCCAAATATATAATAAACTTTTCATAGTACTCATGCTCTTTATTTTTAAATTAGACTTTGCATTCGTAATTGAATTTTATTTACCGTGTTTATCAAATATACGATAAACTTTTCATAGTGCTCGCACTCTATATTTTTAAATTAGACTTTCGTAATTATATTTTATTTAACATGTTTGCCAAATATATGATAAACTTTTCGTAGTTCTCGCACTCTTTATTTTTAAATTAAACTTTACATTTGTGATGAATTCTATTTATCGTGCTTTCCAAATATATAATAAACTTTTCATAGTACTTTTCGGTATTGCGTTAAATTTTATTGTATCTGTAACTTATTTGTTAAAATAATGCAACTATGTTAAGTATACTTTTATATAAACTGTATTTGGGCATTCTTTGCTAATTTTTTTATTGAGATAAATAATATTTTTATTGTCGCAATGTTAAAAATTTTTATTATTAAAAATTGCCACGATATTAAAAGTTTCTATTATTAATTGTCACAATGTTAAAAGTTTCTATTATTAAATTGTCACAATATTAAAAGTTTCTATTATTAATTTGTTATTTTAGTGATATGTTTTGTCTTGATTTTAAATTGTCTTTAGAAATTCTATTAGCCTTTTTTTTCTTTTATTTAAAAATAATCTGTATAATTAAAGAATATTTAAATATACTTGCTGTTTTATTTTATGTATATATTACTATAAACGATGTTAATATGTGTGTTGATCCGATGATTTCTGACTGTTTATTACCTGCTATTAAAAAATTGTATATATACACCCATAAAATATTTGCCGTAAAGATTTCAGTATTCATCAATTTAATTTGAATAAATATGCCTTCTCATACTACTGTAATTGTTATTATATCTACGAAGGAGAACTTTAGCTCTTTAACGCAAGGTTTTGCCAAGTATCAAATATCTGAGAACGATTTTAAGATCGTTCATTGGAAATATTTTTATCCCTTTAATCAACCTTATACTGAATTTTCGGTTGGAGATATTGTAATGTTTGCAGGCAAATTTA